TCTTCTATCTCTGTCTCTGTCTCTCCCCTCCCTTCCTCCCTCCCTCTCTCTCCCATGTATCTTTTTCTTTCTTTCTATCTTTCTAATCACTGTAGCTGTAGACCATTACATTCATGGATACATTTATTATATGAATCAATAAATAAGGAAATGAATGATAGCCAAATTTTTGAACTCCAGTGAGAAAACCAATAGAGTTGTTAAAAGGATATCAAATTTTTGATCTCAAGGAAGAGAAGTCAATAACATCTGAATTGTAAGCTATTACTTGAGCAGCAGGCACTGCACAGATGCAGGCCAGAGAGGGCACTCCCAGTACTTTTCATTGAAGGACAAGAGCATTACATAAAGAATTGCATGAATAAATTACATTTTAAGCATTTAACAAGTGAGTTTCCAACTCTTTTTCTTGATTTCCCAGTGATGGAACTGTCGGGTTCCCAAACTCAGTAGTCAACCTTTCACTTTGCCCACCACCTCGATGGAGTCCAATGATACTGTTTTTCCCACACTCATTACTAATTAGAGCCCTCAGTCTTGCTTTTCAACCACTCATCATTTTGTACCACTGCAGGATCATTTCTTAGACTAATCCAGACACCACATGCTCAAAAAAGACTGCTACACACTGCCTGCCAGTAACAATTACACGCCAACCAATGTGCCCCTGAGGCACAAGCAGACCTCTGAAGGCATTCATCGAGCACTTCACAAGTTCAAAGGCAGTGGGTGCAAGGTGGCTCCAAGCTTGAGGGCAGACTTAGCCTGCGTAAGGCCTTGAGCAACCTCCAACACCAGAAAGAAAGAGGCAGCAGGGAGGGGAGAAGTTCCAAGTCATAAATGATTTGTGTTGTAGTTTTTAGAAAATCAGCAAGGACAAGACAAATACAGACATGCTATTATCCACTATCAGTCTCTTCTTAAAACCCTTATAGTTTAGGATTTACACATTCAATTTTTTGTAAGTACAGGTGGTTCACTCCCTTGGAATAAGACAGCAACGTCTGTTTCTTCCCAGAATTGGCACCATTTCTTGCCCTCCTCAGTATTAGCACAGTGACTGCCTCTTTCTTCAGAGACCTCTTCACTCAGTTCCTCGGGGGCACAAATCTCTACTAGTTCTCTCAGTGGGTTATATATGACGCATTTCATTTAAACTTAACTGACAGCTTAGAAATTCTTTTCGTATTAGTTCACTGATAGCTGTTTTTTTCTGTGTAGAGAAACTGATATTACTTAATACTTATTAAATAAGGGACCAGAGAAATACAATTTTTCTGACTTGACAATAGCAATATGGATGGCATTTACTCTTAAAACATGTGGTAGTTGACCTCAATTTTTAGATAATTCCAGTGTACAGAACTTACTGTTAATCTGGGTTTGTATGTGTGTATGATTCAAGGGAATAGATTATGCTGAATATAAAAGCTGTGCCATCTTTCAGAGGCCACTTGCACTGAGTTATCAATTTTTGTTAAGTAGGTGATGGCATGCAGTAAAATTATATCAATATACCAGGGAGAAATATCCCTTTGAAGTATTTATTAAATTATATTTTATTGTGTAATTATCCTTTATTTCTTTCTTCCAACAAAATGTAAGCTCTGCAAGGAAAGAGAACATACTTATCTTTTTCAACCTGAGTAAATTCACAGATAGCACAAAATCCATAACTGCTAATAAATTTAAAGAACCAACCACCATATTAATAAAATAAAAATAACGGTATCAGCGATAAGAGTTTCAGTAACATATCAAGAGGTTACAATATGTCAGGTATTAAGGTAAATGTTTAACTTATGTGTGTAACCAATAAATGGAACAAGAAAATGCCTGGGACATATTCAACCCTGACTTTTATCCTCCACCACCCCTTTAAAATTATTCCTGTATACCATGGGGTGATCTCTCTCCCTCGTCCCTGAAACTCACATATGGTATCCACTGTTCCCTAAAGATCCATCCTCACATCCTCCTTTTCAGTCTCACCCAGTGGGGCCCACAAGGGGTCTTTACTCTTCCTTGATAGTTATGGCGGCTATCTCACGCTCACAGCAATCCTACTTATCCATGACCACACGGGCAAACACAAGACTGGAAGAATGCTTACTTATCACTACGTGTCATCTCATCCAAACCACTCAACAACCTCACCAAGTCCTTCCTCTTACCTCTACAGCACTGATTAAAAACAGGCAGAGACTTATGGAGGGAGGTTGAGTATCGCGTGCAATATCATGGGGTACCACATCCCCAAGACTGCAATGCTGGAGTTTGGTAATCTAGCTACTGATAGATGTTACAGAGGATGGCATTTCTGACTATGCTTGAAACAGGAAAATGTGCTACATTATCATTAAGAGGTATTTCTTAAGAGTCAACATTTCATTCTATAAGCATAGATAACAGGATTGGTTAAAATATTAATCTAGGAGAACTGTCTTGACTGGAATCTACTTCAGAAATTTATTTGAGAATTGGATGAGTAATAATGTAAGAGAAAACAAGGTTATGTGTACCAGATACATGTATATGGGATGTTCCTGTGTCCCCAGCAAAAAGGATTGACATGAGCTTCAGAACTTTTGTACACCCCAACTAAGACAAGACCAGGGTCCTCCACACCTCCAGGAGGAAACTCCCAGTAAGACAGGCAGCACAGGCAGCACAGGCAGCGGGCTCCCTGACACCCACAGGACCACTCCAGTTTTCTTTCACCAGGCATTCCTAGAGTAAGTAGCTTAAGGAGACTACTCCGCCTGATTCCATGCCTGCTGTGATTTATAACACTTATTTTAATACATTTTTAGAATTATCTCAAGGAAAATATACACCTCTATCCTTGTCAAGACTTAACACCAGTCAACACACCTGTTTAGGTATGTATTCAACGTAGACTTTATCACTTCAGAGGATAAGAGAAGTCGGAATATCCATGACAGGTTCATGACAGCTTAGGAAGAGAAGTCATCAGAGGACATACCGAAGGAGCCAACTGGGTCCAACGCACGGAAACGCCAAAGACACATTCGCGTTGGTGTGCAGTGACAATAAAGACAGAAAACACTTTCTTAAACATTCCTATGTAGCGCATGCAAATGGAGACCGCGGGCTGGGGAGGACACAGGCACATGACAGGCATGCAGTTTGGGGACAGAAGACAAGGAAACAAAGTGATGTAATAAACTGTATCATATATGGCATATAACTTGGTAATATAACCTAGCGATTATAAAGCAAGCCAAAATTTTTAAAAAAAAAAGTTCTCCAAAATACAAATTCACTAGGGAAACTATCCAAAAGCCTCAACTCTACCACATGGATAGTGACCACCACCGGTAAAGTTGGAACTTTGGTCCGTTAAAAGTTGAGTGAACATCAGAAATGAGAAATACTTTGGAAATACTTTCAAAAGAAGGGTGCAATTATAATATCTAATTGAAAGATTTCCTTCAACAGCTCTATCAAATCCTAGAAGTATCTGTGATGATCCCTTCGAGCCCTGACATGTGGCTAGTGGGACTGAGAAACTAAATATTTGTTTATTTAATTTTAATTTATTTAGATTTAAACAGATTACAGTATTTGCACAGCTCAGAGTTGGAAAAAAATCTATCACACGACATTCCTAAAACTTTTCAAAGGTAAGCTTCATATTGCAAAGTTACTACCTAAAACACACTATATAACACCTTACACGACATAAAGGTAATTTCTTTGTAAGCTGTATGAAAGTTCAGTCTGAACTTCTAAAAATGCTACCCGAATAACATAAGAATGTATACAGTAATCTTCCACAAGGACAGGAACCAAAGTCTCTCCTAAGTCACTCTCACAAGTCAAATCTGGAGCTCAGGGTTGTATTTAAATCCCACCAATTAATTAAAACGCACACCTCCTCTTGGCTGCCTCTCTGTGAGCGCTCCGAGGCTCACACACTGCCCACCCTAGCACACGTGGTGCGCCCACAACTCCAAACCCGAGACACGGGCACTTCCTCTGACCCCGGCACGCACACACCTGTAACCCCGGCACACACGCGCGCGCACGCACGCACACACACACACACACCCCTCCAAGCCCGGAGCGCAGGCACTGCTGACCTTGGCAAAGGTGAACACCTCCCCCGCCTGCGCACAGGGACACTCGCAGCCCCACCCTGCTGCTCCAGCACCTGTCGCCTGCGCGCTCACCTTTCTCGCTGACGCTCTCGCTCTCCAGCTCGGCGTCCTCGCAGCTGGTGTACTCAGGCGTGGACACGCCCTCCTCCTCCGAGCTGCTCACCGACATCTGCCGCTTCTTGCCGCCTCTCTTGGCGCGGTGCGGCTTGGGGGGCGAGGGCCGCACGGACTCGGACTGGTCGGAGCTCAGCGAGTCGTTGCGCAGCATGGTCTCCACCTTCTCGCGCTTGGCCTTGCGCACCAG